CCAGAGAAGCAATAATGGGATTGACACTAATAGCAGAAAGGTATCTCGAGGTTCAAAAACAGCTGTTTGTGTGCTTTGTCGATTATAGAAAGGCCTTCGACCGCATTAGACACGAAAAATTGATTGAGGTGCTAAAAGAAGTAGGGCTGGACGGACACGACATAGCTATAATAAGCAATACATAATGGAACCATACAGGATGTGTTCGAACAGACAACGGAAATACCAATTATGTAAACATAGAACGAGGAGTGCGTCAAGGGTGCATTCTGTCCCCTCTTCCATTTAATGTCTATGCCGAAAATATCATCAGAGCTTCTCTTGAAGATCGCCCTGAAGGTGCCAGAGTCAATGGAATCATCATTAACAATGTAAGATATGCCGATGACACCGTAGTATTAGACTACAACAGAAGACCAACTAAAAATATTGATGAACATACTATCAGAAGAAAGTCACAGACTAGGTTTGGATATTAATCTTTCCAAAACCAAAATCATGGTATTCCACAAGAACCCCCATGAACAAATTACACCCAACACACAAATCAATGGTATCACCCTTCAGAGCTCCCAAAGCTTCATATACCTGGGCAGAGAGCTAAACAGTCAGCTAGACCACTCAAAATAAATTAGAAGACGTATTGAAATAGCAAGATCTGGCTTCATGAACATGCGTAAAATGCTCTGTAACCCCAAGCTATCAATCACAATAAGGTTAAGAATACTAAAGTGTTATGTGTGGTCTCTACTACTATATGGCTGTGAGACCTGGACATTAAAACAGTATGACGTCAACAAACTGAATTCATTCGAAATGTGGATGTACCGTCGAATGCTAAGAATAAGCTGGACCAACAAAACTACAAATGAAGAGGTACTAGAAATAATGAACACACGACCTCATCTGGTTAATACAATCAAAATTAGAAAGACGTTATATCTAGGACACATAATGCGCCATAAGGAATTTGAGCAGCTCCAGGTAATATTAGAAGGCAAAATCGAGGGTAAAAGGGGTATAGGAAGAAAGAAGAAATGCTGGCTCCGAAACATCAGAGATTGGGCTCACGCAACAGGAAATGACTTAATCCACCAAGCCCAGAACAGAGAGAAATTTGCCATATTGATCGCCAACCTCAATAGAGAAGGCACTTAGGAGGAGGAGATAATCCTATTGGATAGCATAGATAAGAAATTTTAAAGATAGGCAAGATATTTAAAAAATGTATTAAAAACGTTTAACAATATGGATTGGTCGCAGGGTTGATTGGGTGACCAGCAAAATCACAATACCACTTAATTTTTTCTGTAAGATTAATTCTGACTGATTAAATGAGACAATTACTGTAGAGATGATAAAATTTCGGTTGAGTTTACCGAAAGTACAAGCTGAATATAGCCGCAAATGTCAAAAATATTTGGGTTTGGCAGTGTTGCGATGTTTTTATAATGCATATGTTGTATGCTTCAAATATAAAGAGTAAAATATTTTAAAAAGTATATTTTGATTATACTGTTTTATAAACTCGGCAAATTTTTAATTTATATGAAACAGTAACGAGTAAATATTTCTCTTTCGAGATTAATTGCAAACATCTTTTGTAATCTGGCAACTGCTTATTTGACGATTGCCAAATATATTCCCTAATATATCAAAGGGTACTTGCCAAAAAAAATTCTAATAATTAACTGCAATTAATATCAAAAGAAACAAATAATTACTCATTCTTGTTTTATACAAATCAAAAAATTGCAGAATTTATAACATAATATAAACAAATTGTACTTTTTAAAAGCTTTATCTTGTTATATTTGAAGCATACAGCATCTACATTATAAAAACATGCCAACACTGCTGTACCAAAATTTGTTGTTCCATGTTTGACATTTGCGGGTATAATCAGCTTGTACTTTCGGTAAACTCAACCCAAATTTCTATTCGAAACTTCCACGGTAGATTGTCTCATTGCCAACACACACACTAGACATAATTTCGAGCATTGAAGTAATGAAGAAATTGTAATTTAGTACGTTGTTCAGTTTTATGTTTTGTAAAATAATATTTGTTTAAAATTCCATTTTGGATAAATTTCCTTTAATTATATTTAATTCATTATTATGTAACGTGATCAAGAAATATTTCTTCATCAGGCGGGATGTAGACATTTGGTATATTGGACATGTAATGAGGAGAGACAGATATGAAATACTCCGGTTAATTATTGTTCTAACAATTCAGGGGAAAAGGTCAATAGGAAGAAGACAAAATTCTTGGCTCAAGGACCTGAGACGTTGGCTCGGCAAAACATCGATTGAGATCTTCAAAGCTGCTGTTTCGTGACTAGCTGTAGCCAATTGGAAACGGCGCAGTAAGACGATTTCAAGTGACTAATATTTTTGAAAGGAGGAAGAAATACTATTAAAAAAATTCAGAAGACAATGTCATTTCATATCCCATAATTTATTGTTTTATATAAATATCCCATATTTATTATTAGAATAGCCAAGGATACACATCTAAGGAAACAGTGTTCGGAAATACAGCAATTGCAACATAAACACGATACATTTAATATGCACAAAAAAGTTAAAGAAGCCGCAGGCTTATACAAACCTAGAAGAGTTGGGTGTTTGGCAGATAACCAAGGCAAACAACTGTTAACCGTGGAAGAAAAACTAGATACTTGCAAGAATTATGTGGAAGTAACTTTTGCAGATGAAAGGCAGACTACGATTGAAGACACAGAATGCCAAACAGAACCCCCGATTACCATTGAAGAAGTCACGTTAGCTATTAAAAGAACTAAAGATGGTTAAAGCGGTAGGGCCTGACGAGTTTTGTGCAGAATTCCTTAAACTTATGGATGAACAGGGAATAAAATGGATAACAACTGTATTCAACAACATATACGTAACTGGAAATATACCCCAAAACTGGTTAAAGTCGACGTTCGTGACCATACCAAAAAAAGTAAATGTCAAGACATGCGAAGACTACAGAACAATTAGCCTAATGAGCCACTTACTTAAAACGTTCTTGAAAGTAATACACGGCAGAATATATAAAGAATGCAAAGAACAAGCATCACGGACGCAGTTTGGATTCCGCGATTCCTTAGGCACCCGAGAGGCTCTATTCGCTGTCCAAGTGCTTATGCAAAGATGCAGGGATGTTAACTGCGATGTGTATATTTGTTTTATCGACTACAAAAAGCCATTTGATAAAGTAAAACATGATAAACTTACAAACATCTTGAAAGAAGTGGGGTTAGATGATAGGGACTTGAGAATCATCTATAATTTATATTACAACCAAACAGCCAATATTAAAGTGGATGATGATGACGGATGTAGTCTCCATAGATAGAGGAGTGAGGCAAGGATGCATTCTGTCCCCGGTGTTATTTAATATATATACTCTGAATATATCTTCGAGCAAGCGCTAGAAGAACTAAAAGAAGGCGTATTAGTTAACGGAATGCGTCTAAACAACATTAGATATGCCGACGACGCAGTAGTTTTTGCAGATAGTCTGGACGGTTTGCAAAGAATAATGTCGCATATATCACATATAAGTAGAGAACACGGACTTGATCTTAATACGAAGAAAACAAAGTACATGGTAGTCAGTAAGCGCGAAATATTAAATACACAGCTTTTGGTTAACCAACATCCAATTGACAGAGTGGACAGCTACACATACCTTGGTACCAATATTAACAGTAAATGGGATCACTCCAGTGAAATAAAACAACGCATAGGAAAAGCGAGATCAGCGTTTATAATGATAAAGTCTCTTTTCAGAAGTCATGAGTTACCACTTGCTACCAAAATCTCTCTCATTAGATGCTATGTATTTTCTACCTTATTATACGAAGTAGAGGCCTGGACACTTTCCGAAGCTTCCTTAAGAAAACTCGAGGCATTCGAGATGTGGTGTTACAGACGTATCTTAAGAATTTCATGGGTGGATCGTGTGACTAATGTTGAGGTCCTACGTAGAATAGGCAAGGAATGCGAGATTATTAACACCATCAAAGAGCGCAAACTAAAATATCTTGGCCATGTTATGAGGAATGAACAGAGATACGGGTTGTTGCAACTCATTCTTCAGGGCAAGGTATTTGGAGAGAGGACCAGGGAGAAGAAGAATATCTTGGCTTCAAAACCTGAGAAAGTAGTTTAATACATCGACAACCGGACTATTCAGAATAGCAGCAAGCAAAGTTAGGTTAGCCATGTTGATCGCCAATATCCGGAACGGATAGGCACCGTAAGAAGAAGAACATCCCATAATTTCGTAATTATTAATAGCTTCTTCATTTCAAAAATTGTTATGTACAACCGCTCCAAACTCTGACAGTTGTCATGTTGACAGCCGTTATGTTGACAGCTAACAGCCACCATGTTGAACTGGACACGTGACGGTAATTGGCTAATAGGAGCGCGGCGGCTATCTTCGAAGGTTTTATAACTCACTTTAACACGTGACACATCTGGCGGCAATTATCAAAGGATGCCGATAAGAGATCAAAGGTTGCTACTTTTCCCACGGTCGGCAAAATTTTCCATTTCCCAACAGCATTAAATTCTGGCCATGGCATTGTTGTCAGACTTTTTCACAATCCTGTATTTAGTTATAGATTAATGTAATACTTTTTTTAGTTTAGTCTCTATTACTAGGAAAATCCTATGCAATGAACAATTTATATAAAAGTGATACTGCAAATGCTAGTTTGATTAAATAAGGGAAAGAAATAAGCCACACATACTGTGCTGAGGCAATAATATATCTAGATCACAATCACTGAGCAATATTTTCCCTTTTTAAATAAAATTAAAAAAAGTTTCCAATGTTAAAAACGTAAGGTTACAATTACGAAAAAAATCAAAAAATGGTAGTCTAGTAAAGATTTAATTTTTCTCAATTTGTGGTATCATTCACACAGAATATTACAAGAAAAATCTACAAATATATAATTTTCTATCAAAACTTACTGGGCACCGCAGTTGGAGCTCCGGACGATCTGTTAAATTGACTTCCGTAATGGTGTTGTTGGTCCCGAGAGAGCGACATGGCGAAGCCTCCTAAGGCCGCCGCGTCTTCACCGTCTTCAGCCTCGACTTCTCCCTCTTCCGGTATTTCTCCGTTTTCGTTGATTGCTTCGTCCTCGTCTTCTATCGGTGGAGCGGGCGGGGGCGGTTGAAGGGGCGGAGAAGATATCGTCACTTCGTCACCTAATACAATATACAACATATATCTATACAAAAAAGATAATTTCTTACCAATAATAAAAATGAGGACTGGAAAGTGTCCCAAAGATACCTATAAATATGTCAGTTGCTGATAAGAGCCTCCTAAATAACATCAACCGTAGCTGATGAGTCTTTAGCAGACCACATAGGAATCGATACCATGGACAGAACTTCCACAAAGCCTTTTGCTATATTAAACAGTCTCGATCAATCAATTCTTAATTTGGAGGTAAAACTAATATTTTCCCGTAAAATAAACCCACACAAAATAGCACACATTTCTTTGGTCTAAATGAAAAGAATCTTAAAATTATAACATATATCTATTGGAGCCATCCTGAATACTTTAGAGTCTTCTTTATGTGCCGTCTTCTACCGAAGGTTGGCGACCATCATACGATAGGTTTCTTTGTTTTGTGCCGCATGAATTATGTTCGCAGCTTCTGGTATTTGAAACCATTCTCTCAAGTTTCTCAGCCAGGATTTCTTCTTTCTGCCCAAACCTCTTCTACCTTCAATCTTGCCTTCCACGATAAGCTATAGCAGACTGTACTTATCATTACGGAACACATGGCCCAGGTATGACGCTTTCCTCCTTTTAACAGTTGTTAACAATTCCACCTCTTTACCCATTCGTCTTAATACCTCTGTGTTGGTCACTCTGTCTGTCCAAGGTATTCTCAGTATGCGTCGATACAACCACATTTCTAGAGCCGCTAACTTCTTTATAGTTGCTGCTGTTAACGTCCACCCTTCTACGCCGTAAAGTAGCGTAGAGAGTACGTAGCATTTCGTGGCGCGCCATCGGAGGTTAATGCTTAGGTTGCGGTTGCTTAAGAGCTTTCTCATTTTGATGAATTTGGATCTTGCTATTTCAATTCGGATCTTAATCCTACTTCTGGGTCCCACTTGTCATTTACTGTATATCCCAGATATTTAAATCGGTGTACTCTTTCAATACGTTCGTCTTCAATATGCAGGTCGATATGTTGAAATTTTTTTTACTGATCACCATAAATTTAGTTTTCTTTCTATTGATCTTCAGTCCAAATCGGCTGCCAGTTGTATTAACTCTATGTAGCATCATCTGTAAATCTTCGATGTTATCGGCCAGTATAATAGTATCATCTGCATATCGAAAATTACTTATTGGTACGCCATTAATCTTGATGCCCTCATTGTACTCTTCTAGTGCCTCTAGTTACTCTAGTTTACTTTAGAGTAAAAGAAAATAAAGCAAAAAGAACTAGCATACATAGATACGTCAGACCGCTATGTTATCAGTACTATTGGTCAGTTGTACAATGAAAACCCTAATTTGAGTCTTGTGGATTATATCGACAAACTCTATGGAATAGATAGAGACTGTAAAACATCTCAACCACAACAATGTGGTAAACATTAAATCTGGTATTAAACACTCAAAGGAATTAAAGACCACAAAAGGTATACAAGGATGTTGTAAATTTCCGACGCTGTTCAAAATATTTTTGGAACAGATTCTAAAACCATGGAAAAGAAAATATAAGTATATGAGAATACTAGTTAAAAACCGTTTATTATACACACAAGTTTTGCAGAACCAAATTGTGACTGCCCAAGATAAAGAATATCTGGCATATATGCTCCGAAAACTGGAACAATAGTATACAAAAAGCGGACTAAAAAATAAACCTAGGTAAAACACGAGGCTTAACAACCAAACAGTAGCCAGTAAAAAACCCAGAAGTTTAGGATAACGAGAAAATCAAATGCAGTGAAACATTTAAATACCTAAGATTCATACTCTCAAGAAACGAAACCACCAATGAGAAAATAACCATCAGACTAACTCAGATAAGAAGATGGCATGGCAAAGTTCTAATGGAAAAACTCAAAACGAAATAGATTTTATTATCACGGACAAAACACACCGTTAAAGACATCACGGCTCTAAACAGATTTGTTACCAGTAGCGATCATAGAATAGTACGAGGTAAAATAGAAATAAGCTTAAAGAAGGAGAGGAATAAGATGATTAAAAAGAAGAACAAATCAAAACCATGGATGAAACCATCAGATGTAGATAGTTTTCAGCAATGTATTTTCAACATACTTAGTAGTCCTGAAGCAGAAAATAATAAAACGACTTAAATAAATGACTCCAAAAGAAGAGAAGATTAGCCAAAATACCAGACAACTAATGCAGAAAAGAAGAGAAATGAGAAGCGAGACGAAAACTAAACCCGACGAACTACAAAAATTAAATAAAGAAATATCCAAAGCTGTTGGCTAAGACACTAGAAAATACAACCAAGAACAAATTGAAAATATCATTGAAAACAATAGAAGTATAAAAGAACTATTGAGAAAAATACTGAGAATATCGACAAGGCAGATAATAAAGATTAAAGATAGAAATGGTCATCTTATAACCAACCGAGAGGAAACCCTTAAAATAGTTGAAGACTTCTACAAATTGTTGTTACCGATGCAATCAAAATCGGAGGCACTTGCCTACTTAAGGAAATAAAAAACCTTTTTAACATATGCATTTGAGGAAATAGGAAAGAGGAAATAGAACAATTCTATAATATCTTAGAAGAGGTGATGAGTACAACAAAAAGACAACACATTAACATAGTAATGGGCGATCTGAACGCCAAGGTAGGTCAGGGTAAAGTTGGAGAAAATGTCGGTGAATATGGCTTAGGTAATAGAAATGAAAGGGGTGATCGTTTAGTTCAGTTTTGTCAAAGCGAAGATTTAATAATAACTAATACATTCTTTAAACTACCCCCAAGGCGAGTATATACGTTGACGTCACCTCAACATACACAAGAAAAAGTGGTCAGAAACCAAATAGATTACATATTGGTGACAAAAGATACCGTAATGCCGTAAAATCTACTAAAACTTTCCCTGGAGCTGATATCGGTTCGGATCATAATCCAGTAGTATCTGTGATAGAAGCTAGACCAAAGAAAATAAGAAAAGCCATCATTCCAGCATTAGACTTAAGCCAGCTTAAAAATGAACATCTACGACAAACAGTGCGAGAAGAAATAAACACCAGCCTCAGTGTAGCAGAAAGCCAAATCCGCAGAACAGACAACATAGATGAAAAACTTAAGTATATAAATACTATAATAAGAACTACGGGAAAGAAACACCTAACCAAATCTGCAAAGAAACATAAGGTGTGGATGACACCAGACATTCTAGAACTAATGGATGAAAGACGTAAAATGAAGAATAATGCAGAAAAATACAAAGAGGTTAATAAGAACATAAAGCAAAGAATAAGAAATGCCAAAGAATCATGGATTACAGAACAATGTGTAGAAATGGAAAACTATGAAAGAAAGTATGACACGTTCAATATACATAAAAAAGTAAGAGAAATTACAGGAATCCAAAGAAGACGTCAAATAAGTTTGCTTAAGAACAAAGATGGAAAGATTATTATAGATTTAACAGAGAAAATTAATAGATGGAGTGAATACATAAGAGAATTATTTGAGGACAACAGAAATAACATTGTTCTGATATATGGCGAAACGGGACCTGAAATTCTAAAATGTGAAGTAGAAATGGCACTTAAAAATTCCAAAACTGGGAATGCAAATGGACGGGATGAGGTTCCTATCGAATTGCTAAAGCTCTTGAATGATGAATCAATAGGTATAATATTGCACTTATTTAATACAATATACAATACTGGCATTATACGTCAAGAGTGGCTGTTGTCTACATTCGTTACACTGCCAAAGAAATCTAATGCTAAAGAATGTTCAGAACATCGAACAATATCTTTAATGATCCACCTACTAAAGATATTTCTAAAAATCATCCACAACCGAGTTTATCAAAAGTTGGAGTCAGATATTAGTAATACACAGATGGGGTTCAGAAAAGGGCTTGGTGCTCGAGAAGCTCTCTTCGGTTTGAATGTTCTCACACAAAGATGCCTAGACGTTAATCAGGAGGTACATATGTGTTTTATCGATTTTGAAAAAGCGTTTGACAGAGTACGCCATGATAAGCTTAGAGAGATTCTTGAAAGGAAGGACATAGATAATAAAGATCTGCGAATAATTCTCAATCTATATTGGAATCAGAAAGCTAACATCAAAATAGAAACTGAAACATCACAAGCAATAGAAATACGTAGAGGAGTACGACAGGGTTGCATTTTGTCACCTCTGTTATTTAATGTATATAGTGAACAGCATTTGTCAGGAAGCCCTTTTATAAGCAAACGGAGGAATCGTAATTAATGGAGAGATTGTAAATAATATTCGATACGCGGACGACACTGTACTAGTTGCAAGAACAGTAGAAGAATTACAAAGATTACTTACAGACATAAATATTGCTTGCGACAATTATGGTATAAATATCAATATTAAAAAAACCAAGTATATGGTCTTCAGTAAAAACATGACACAACCAGCGTATATTAGTATAAACGGCACTCAAGTTGAAAAAGTATCAAGTTACAAATACTTGGGAACTTTAATAAACGAAACTGGAGACCAAAACAGTGAAATAAAAAGACGTATCGAAATTGCCAGGGCCACCTTAATAAAGATGAGAAAATTCTTCTGCAACAGAAATATAAGCATCCCTCTACGATTAAGAATGCTGAGAGGCTATGTATTTAACACGCTATTATACGGTGTAGAGGCCTGGACTCTCAAACAGAACAACATGAAAAATATTGAAAGTTTCGAGATGTGGTGCTACCGTCGAATGCTGAAGATTAGTTGGGTTGAAAGAATAACAAACTGTGAAGTAATACGAAGAATAGGAAAAGACCCAGAGATTTTGTTAACGCTAAAGCGAAGAAAACTCGAATATTTTGGTCACCTGATGAGAGGACATAAATACGCATTACTTCAAAATATAATGCAGGGAAAAATAGAAGCAAAACGGAATCCAGGCCGTAGAAGAATGTCATGGTTGCGGAATTTGAGAGAGTGGTTTGGCTGCACCACTAA